GTTCGAAGTCATTAGGTTGTACCTTTCACCCGGGAAATGAACACGCGCCCACATTTGCACCCCAGCTCTTTCGAGATATCCATGTAGTTCAGGATGAAGCGCTTCAATCGCATTGAATGCTTCTGTAAAATCAGCCATCCGAAAACACCTAGCCGCTTTTTTCACAAGTGGGAACAAATGTTTCCCTTTGAACTTCACCAATATGTTCTTGTACAAATGATAAGTGCAAATTCCACGAGAAGCCAACGGATACACTTCACCAATTGCTTTCCCTATTGACTTATGTCTGTCCGAGATGATCGCAAGATTCCTCTCGTCTGGAATAGCAACTTTGAGTTGCGTAAAAAACCAACGCCAAGAATCATCATTTTCAGTGTCAACAACTGCGAAAGCTATTGGGAAAATTTGGAAATTTCCATCCTGAGCTAGGGCTGTTAGAAGCGTCCCTTTGTAACTACCGTGGAGAAACGTACCATCCACAACAACAACTTTCCGCATGTAAGCAAACCCAGCAACACTCGCACCAAAAGCAATGAAGACATACTTGAATCTGTCACACTCGTCAATTTGAAGACGCGTTATTGTACCCGGATTTGCCCGTCTTATCGTGTATAGGTAGGAAGGCAATTCTCCAAAACTTCCCTCAGGAGTTCCCATATCGATCTGTCTTGCAAACCTTAGCGTCTTGTATGACTTCCAATAATCCATCTGTTGGCACCAATATAAAAATAAGTCAGCCGTAACTATATATAAGTCAAATGAAAACTCAGCCGTATCGTAATGATAACTCAGCCGTAAATATATATAAGTCAGCCGACACATAAATGAAAACTCAGCCGTATCGTAATGATAACTCAGCCGTAAAGGAAAGAAAACTAAATGAAACTCAGCCGTATCGTAATGAGAACTCAGCCGTAAATAAATAAACTCAGCCGTATCGTAATGAGAACTCAGCCGTAAATAAATAAACTCAGCCGTATCGTAACGAAAACTCAGCCGTGACTCAAATATAAATCAGCCGTGACATTGTAATTACCTTTATGCCAAAATGCTTACTGATGATTATTCCAACACTTTTAGGTTTAACTAACGGACCAATGTCACTAAGAAAGTCCCTGTAAAGAGGTCCCAAAACATCAGGTGTAGCTTGTTTGGATCGATTAGATCTCTCCATCACAGAACATGAGTGTACCGAATCGTATATACGTACAACAAAACCAGGCTGATCTCCTTCTTGAGATGCACGAACTCTCCAAAGACATCCTTCAACCCAGCACTTAATATTCACTATAGTCGTATTTGATTTTGGTACTGAAAAATCAAATCCATCTCTCACTGCAAGAAGTTTCACTCGTTTCTCCAACTCGTCTTTGTTCGCGTATCGTTGTCCTACGACGAGGTTTAGCTTAGCCATCTCCACCGTTAAAGACTCCGAGTTCCCAATCGATCCTACTTTGCCAAAGTAATGACCTCTGTTTTGAGTAGCAGCCGGTAAATCTTCATCTTTCTCCTCACGCTCGCCGTATATAGTAAAGTTATCATCATCAGATGACGCACCATCGGAGTCGTCGAAAACGTCAAATCGGGTGAAAACTCGTCATCTTCTTCTTCATCGTCTGATTCGTACTCTGCTTCATCTTCGTTGGCTTCATCGTCTACGTTTTCACTATAATCATAACAGAAACCATCAAATCCTCTTGCGTCTTCATATGTATATTCTACTTCTGAAGCCGAACTGCTTGGCCGTTTCGTCCTTGAATTCGATCTGTCCTTCAACTTCGTGAACTCAACACAAAGTCATGGCTGATCAATTGTCAACAAGCTTAGATAATTCTGCAATTGTCGATCGTTTGAGACATATACTGGGGGAGTATCATGCGACATATGTTTCATATGTTTGTACGAGAGCATGTAGCTCATCGTCACCTTGTGGCTGAGTTGATGCAGTCCGTAGTCATCAAGAACCAATTTCACTAGCTTCTCGTGCGTTGTTTCCGCATCTATTTGCACAATTCTACAACCTCTATCGTCAGTGTTAAATACATATTTTTGTTTCTTTGCCCAGTTACCAGACACAACAATCACTGGAACCGGATGATCCATCAACGAAAATGAAGAACAGAAGTGAAAATGCAGAAAAGAAGTGAAGAACAGAAGTGAAAATGAAGAACAGAAGTGAAAATGAAGAACAAAAGTGAAAATGAAAAACAGAAGTGAAGTGAAGAACAGAAAATGAAGAACAGAGTGTAAGAAAAACACGAGCTAATGCGGGACCTTTCGTATTTCCCTCGTTTATGCTGACGTGGAATTGTGAATTTGAAGTCGTAAGTCAGCCACCAAACAACTTTGTAACTCAGCCAACGATAAATCAGCCATCAACACATATTAAGTCAACCACAACATGAAAAATATTTAAGTAATTACTAAAATGTTTTTTAAGATGCCAAATTCAGCCGTAACGTCAATAAGTCAGCCGTAACGTAAAATAAGTCAGCCGTAACTGGAGGCTATATTAGCAATAAATCTTTTGTCTATAAGTCAGCCGTAACATGGTTGAGTTTTCCGTTAATTCAGCCAATTACGACTGAGTTATGTCTCTGAAACATAAGTCAGCCGTAACGACATTTGATAACTCAGCCGTTGTCGATAACTCAGCCACCCGGAGAAAGTTAAGTCAGCCGTGTCGATAACATAACTCAGCCAAACTTCTGATAACTCAACCATCGGACTATAACTCAGCCGTAACGGCGGCTGAGTCATTAGCCGTTTTCTCATAACTCAACCAGATTTTTATAAGTCAGTCGTAATTGTTGGCTGAGTTATGGTCCTAAGTCAACCGTTGACCCGAAACTCAGCCGTTGTCCCAGAACTCAGCCATAACGTGATATAACTTAGCCGTAACGTACGTTATGGCTGAGTTATTGGTGGCACGCGCCTTTTTATCTGACGTGGCAGTGGCATTTTCCGTAATTAGTTTTTTCCGGTAACGTGTAAAAAGGGCACGCTGGTAATTAAAAAACATTTAAGGATAAAAAAAAGTTTTGGATGGTTTGCGTCAATACACCTAAAATGTAGTCCATCTAAGTAATTCTTTCAAATAATATGCAGTCAACTTTGATCCAAGCATTAGCTTTAAAAATCAATTATAGCATGCTGTCATGGTCTCTCAACATCGTGGGAGGAAGAAACAACATGATGCTGCTGCATGGGTCAAAATTGTCTACTATAACTATGAGTTTGTGTTCAGAAACTCAAGACTCTTATAAGAAAGATATGCTAACAGTGTTTTTTTTTTTAATGGAATAGGAGTAAATTAAGAAATTCTACTGGGTATATATTTAAATATTTATGTTGGTGTTGTAAGGTTTGGAACTTGGAAGTTCCTTTATGACATCCTATTTATTGATCCACAAAATTTAGCAAAAAGATGACTAACATCCAACATAAATTATTGAATGGTATGACAACATGTATCAAGTCGAGCTGTCCGTATGTGACAAAGACGATTTTGCAACTTTCGTCCTTTTTGACCACATTTCTATAAAGCTAACTGGTATGAGAATTGAGAGTTACAGATATCTTTGAGGAGGTAGTAGCCTATACTCACCAAATAGTTATCTCTGTTCACCAAATAATTCTCAAAAATACATTATACTTTCTAAAGTAATATAAATATAATCACTATTTATATTTACAGGGTGTTGATAATGGTACTTCAAAACCACAATGTTTGTTAGATGTTATATTAATGATAATATTTTATTACTATCATTAATCCCATATATTTTTTACTAAAGTATATCAAATAAAAGTTGAAGCTATAAGCTCCTTAGAACGTACACATAGGATTTTAAACGACCAATTGCGGTTAGCCAACTCATTAGTTAACATATTTTATATCTCATTAATTAACATTTTTAAATATTATTATTTTCTAAAAAAAATATTAATAAAAAGAGAAAAATATATAGAAAAAATAGAAATATAAATTTTTGGAAAACAATATATGGAGTATATGAAACTTATAATCTTTGTATATAATATTGAATATAAATGTTATGCTAAATAAAGGTAAGTTTACGAATATTAGTTGTACTAATGGAGAGTCGTGTCTTTTAAAAATATGGATTTTATTCTTTTGTGTATTACTGAAAATCTTAAAAAAGGTAAACCTTAAATCATGAATGCCTCTTACGGTCTTATAAATACTTTCTATTAGATAAACAATATGGAGAAAGCGTTGTTAGGACAAGAAGCTAAACCGCACAAACAGATCAATGGTTTGTTCGGAAAAACAATAATCAGAAAGCTAATATATTATTACAATTTACAACCAAGCCCGAGAGATGTTGGAAGGGTGCAAGACCGAGGAGGAGAAGAAAATACAAGAGACCGGTAAAGATGTTGCAACGAGGGTATCCACGATTGTAGATCTAGAAGAAACGGTAAAGAGTTTAGGTAATGAAGTAGAGATGAAAAGAGAGGATATATAGAGCTTAATGGATAAATAAATGAAAAAGTGTTACGAAGAAAAGTGAGTTGAAGAGAATATATAGAAGCTAAACATTCAGAGGAACAAGCATTGCTCAAGAAAATAGGAGTGATAAGACGATTGTGTGTGTGGATCGAAAACCATAGAGACCATTGTGAGTATCTTGAAGAGGTTTGTTTTCTCAAAAATAGTACCAATGTCAGTCCCCTAACAAAAAAAATTAAAAAAAAAACGAAAATGGCGGTCGTACCAGGACTGTCCTTCTTCTCTTTCTTCACTAATCGCGGACTCCACTGACACATGACGGCCTGCGATTAGTTGCTTTTCTGTTGTTTTTTAAAGAAAAATCTTTAAAAAAAAATTAGTTTGTTTTTTTGTCTGGGACCAAATGGGCGATGCCCATGCCCTCAGAGCATGATTATTGGTAAACTTTTAGGTTTTAATCTTAGTATTAGTTTATTAGTAAAATTGAAAAAGTAAAAGATAAGAGTTGTATTTTAGTTTTTAGTTTTGAATTGATAGGCTTATATTTGTATACAATATAGTTGAATTGATAGGCTTAAATTTGTAGCTCTAATTAATTAGTTTTTTGTAATTTATTTTCTGATAATATGATTTTGTTTTTGTTTTGTATTTGCTTTTTCTGAGATGCTTATCATTCACTTTTTATTTTGTGATTCCATTCAAAGTTCTAATTTAGTTTTTTTTTTTATTTTAATTTTGTTGTATTATTGTATTATTTTTATTATTTAGTCCAATTCTAACTTTCTTAATTGGAGTTTTTTTTTTTCTATAAGGAGTACTTTCTATATTAGTTTCTATGATCGTGAAAGCGAATAAATTAGATATGAGGTTAGGCAGACGAATGCTAAGGTAAAAACCATAAACCAACTTTTAAGAAACATATGAATTCTTTATTTTTTTTAATTATTACTACATAGTCTATATTACTATCACTAGTTTTGTTAAGTTTGTTCACATGTATGAAGTAAAAAAATCCAAGCAAGAGATTAAATATATACAAGCAAAAAATAATATATATTACTACGTACGGTTGTGATTAGATTCGGAGAAATAATAAGTGCTAAAATATATTGTTAAAATATCATTTATTATATTTGAGAGGTAGTAGATGTACTATATATATTACTACGTACGGTTGTGATTAGATTAGAATAAATGAGAAGTGCTAAAATATATTGTTAACAGATCATATATTATATGAGAGATAGTAGTTGTACAAATGAGAGTTTATGAGTTTAGATAGTCAAAATATTTTTATAATGTTATACTTAAAATAGCTAAAATAAAAGAGAGTAGGTAAAGAGGAATAATAGTGGAATTGCGGATACTAAAATGAGGAAGTCGTAGAAGTTAAGTCTCCACCATATATTTTTGATATATCATAGAAACTTAAATAATAAGATTCCATTAGAGCGTTGAAGGTGAAAAAGACCAGAAATATTTTCACATTTTTTTAAAATTTTTATTTTTTGTCCATTAATATATTAATATGAATATTTTAACTAATCATATAAATTTTTAAAATTTTTTTTTCTTATCAGCACAATATTGTAAATAATATAAATGATACTCAAAATATACATAAAAGAACATTTATGTTCAAACAAATCAAAATAAAAAAGTTATTATATTTTTGTGTAGTACCTATCAATGTATATTTAAATGGTTATTAAGTGTAAATTTTTGTTTTAATAATCGATACATAGATACTTGCGCATTTAAATAATTGCTAAATCTATAACAATTTGAAACAATCAATACAAATATACCCGCGTGTAATGCGGGTTAATAACCTAGTTATAGCTTAAAAATAAAGATCTTAATAATTCTATAACAAAATACGGCAATTAAATCTTTACAAATTAAAAACATAATACAGCATATTATTAGCATATTCTTTAACTACTTTCTAAATTCTACTAGAAACAAAATCACAATCTTAATATTTTTAAAAACTTCCTCACCAAGATTATCTCTACGCATGCACATCATAACTTGGAATCTCCTCAATACACTATATACTAGGTTTTAACCTGCGGTACACCGCATGACGATTTTTTTACTAAAATTTTTCTATTTAAATTATATTTTTTCTTAAAATTTTTGCTTAGTGTTTAAAATTGTGTAGTTGTATTTTGATTGTGAATTTTATCACTTATAAGCTCGTTGGATTATTTTTTGTAACTAATATTTTTTATTTAAGTTGTATTTGTGAACATGACAAATTGTTTTGTTATATATAACCGTAATTTAATCAACTTAATAAAGTATGTACAATATTTCAAATAATGATATGATGATGGCGTAACATCTTTCATTTAATTCATTGTATTTTAGACTAAAATATTTTGTGTGTAAAGTCAAAATATAATCATATTTCTATAAAGTTAAAACTGGAAGAAAAAAATATAATCATATTTCTATAAAGTCAAACCCGTTCAATAAAATGTATGTAAACTCAAACCCATTCAATCAAATATAATCATAGTTATAAGCATATTAGTCTTATTTATAATGTTTTTGAACCATTGTCTAAAATTTTGTACCCGATGTGTGACGTTTTACATTTTTTTTCTTTATGATTCAGTAATATATGTCTGTTTTCAAAAATTCAAATTACAACATATGCGGAAATTTTTTATTTTTATTATACATATGTTATATGTAATAATATAAATTTTAAAACAAATAAGATCATATAAAGATATTTGAGAGATATTCAATTTATTAGGGAGATATTTTAGGAAAATCGAAGTAGTTGTAAATCTTTTACAAATTTAAACCTTATAGTTAATAAAATTATAGAAATGGCAAGGGTTTATGATTGCAAATAATACAAAATAAAAGGTTACTTTCCAAAAGATTCTTCAAAAATGTTAATATAGATTGTATTAGCGTAGCAATTTTACTTTTTTTTATCATCATAAAACTTTTTTATTAATTGTTTAGAGTTTTTCTTCTAATATTTTATTGTTTGATTGTTTTTAAATAGTTTTAAAAATTTTCCAGTTTGTATAAAATATTTTCATTTGGGAAAAATGCCATAAAAATCCTGGAGAGTACGATTTCGTTGATTTAAATCCCGAACTCTCCAACTGTTGATTTAAATCACAAAATTTATGTTGACTCTCTCTTTAATATGAAACTTTAGTTGACTTTGCCAATTTAGGCACATCTTTAAAACGCCAAACGGAGCAATTAAACGAGGTTAGATGTCGTTAACGAAATCCGTCAAATATGAAATGAAACCGTTTTTAACATAACCCAAACACTTAATCGATTCAACTTTCTGTTAAGTGTTTTGGGGAAAAAGTTGAATTGATTAAGTGTTTGGGTTATGTTAAAACGGTTTCATTTTGTATTTGACGGATTTCGTTAATGACATTCAAACCCGTTTAATTGCTCCGTTTGGCGATTTAACGATGTGCCTAAATTGGCAAAGTCAATTAAAGTTTCATATTAAAGAGAGAGTAAACAAAAAGTTTGTGATTTAAATCAACAGTTGGAAAGTTCGGGATTTAAACCAACGAAATCGTACTCTTCAGGATTTTTATGGCATTTTTCCCATTTTCATTTTTAGTTTGTATGAACAATGTCAAGTTTGTATATACACTGATCAAAATGTATTTCTATTCACAATCGTAGCTCTAAAATTATAAACATAATTTTCCCATTAACTTCATCTCTCCCTGTAAATAAATGCATTTATGATTAAATACACAAAGTCTCAATAGTCACATTTTCAGAAAAATAGTCTAAAAAAAATATCAAACCTATTTTATTTTGGCTTATCAAATTTTGAATATACGTGAAACTGAATCTATAAATTTTACATTTTATAATTTTTATTAGAAATATATTATGAAAATTACAATAATATCAAAATTCACAATTTATATTCGTAAAATTCTTTATTTTATTTTGAACATACAACAACCAATTCTATATTCGTAAAATTCTTTATTTTATTTTGAAAATAGTAAAAATTACAAAAAAAAAACAATTTCTCACGGGTTTACGATAACCAAATTTAGTTATATTTATATTTATTTGACAAATAATAAAAATGTTATAATTTCTAAAAATAATGAAAATTCTATATTTTATTTCCAATTCATATAGATTTTGTAAACCAAAATCTGACCGGTTCATAGGGTCACAAGTTAATGGCAGTGTTTTTTTTTGTTTTTAAGATTACCTGTTATCAGCACTAAACTCAAATCGAAATAGTTTCTAATGTTCGGGTCGTAAATTAATCAGTCGAACCGACCAAACATGTCCAAAACTGAAAACATTTTATTTGCTAAACACTTACGGTATGAAAAATAAACACTATTTTAGATAAGAACAATTTAAAAAAAATATATAATTTTATTAACACTTCGAGAAAACGTTATCCGCGCGGTAGCAAGTGCTATCCTCTAGTACATATATATATATATACAAAGTGAAGCGGATATTCGACATTAAAAAATCAATATTTGTTATTTGCTTCGGTTTTTACGAAGACTACATTTTCATATTTGCTTCGCTTCAATAATTTATAGATATTTGAATTTTTCGACTCGAATCAAAACGAATATCGAAGCGAACCGAATCTAACGAATATTTTACCTAGGGCTAGGGTAAACCTCGTGTAAGACTATATTATACTAGAGCTCGTTTACTAAGCAAAAGTCTCTGAATAAGGACTAATCTAGTAAGAGCATTGTAATACCCCTGATGGTGATGTAGTATACGGTCGGACGGTCGCGGTCGTAGGAATGCGACCGAGACTTAGAAAATTTTTTCGAAAAGAAAAATTTAATGGAGCTATCAATAAACCAAATCTTATTTGAAGAATTGATCGAAGAAAAATGGTTGAATTGATTTTATATCGAACCATAAGAGAGTTAAGTTATTATCGGCTACCGTCGAGTGTCGAGCAGTCAAGACAAGCCATTAGTGGCAACGGACAGTAGGGCTATCAAGAGAATTGGTGTTAGTTTGATCTAAGGACAAGGTTAAATAATTACTAAGAGGGTTATTTACGGGCACTTTGGTCGAGGGAAAGATCAAAAAATCCTTCCTTCTCTTATGGCTTTCCGGCTTGGGTATATAAGCTGGGCATCTAAAAAGGAAGAAAATTTTGTCGAGGTGAAAACTAGTTTTATCATAAGGAGTAGAGTTAGGCTGAGACAAGCAAGCAGTGAACAAATGGGATCGGATACAAAGATAACAAGGTTCAATAGAGTGGTTAAATGACTTAGTCATTTGTTTGAAGAATTTTAGAATTTTTGTGAAGTTAGATTGAGTAAAGATCAATGTGAGCATTCTGTGGCTGTAAGAGCTTTCGAAACGGACATATACCGCGAGAGAGTAGAATGAATGGTCGATGGACCAAGTGAGGTGCTTGGAAGCTGCTGTGTCGTGAAGGTGCTTATGTTTACCACATTGTGCCACACGACCGGATGAGAAAGGTGTGGGTTATGCGTAAGTGTGCGCAAGCTTGTGTGGATAAAGATAAGAGTGGATAGGAATAAGGTTAAGGATAAACCTCATCCTCCCACCTCGTGCTTGCCTTAGCTTGGGCGCCAAGCTTCCTCCCCCTAATTAAAGCCACGAAATCCATTCATTAGTTCTCCACACAAAAACGAAAAATCCCACCTTAGTTAGTTAGTTAGTTTCGAGAAGCTAGTCGGGTAGAAGTTGGTCGAGTCGAGAGTCTTGGTCGGGTATCCGATAAGTAAGTTCTTCCTTAAGTTTTTTATTCTTTCTAGAATATATTTCCAAGTTCTTGGTTCGATCCGAAGCTTAGATCCATCGTTCGAGAAAGCTAGTCGGATCGAGATCAATAGGCGGTCAAGGGTAGAATGTTGTTCTCTCGACAATAAGGCCAAGGTGAGTACCGAAGCATGTGTAGTAGCACATGTCTAGGTTTTATTTAATGTATTAGTTTATGTTTGAGGTTTCATGTTTATATATAGTGTAAATTATGCATGAAAGTTAGATCTATGTTTCTATGTAAGATCGGCTCGATTGTTTGTTCTAGATCTTCCTTTCTTCTTGAATTATTTTGGTTGATCTATTGATTGAGGTTGTGATAGTCATTATTATAGCCATTATAATGTTCATATAATCGTTATGCTATCAACAAAATCCTTAGACTATTGTATAGCCGTTATGTTGTTTGTATAACTGTTATGCTGCCAATCTAGTCGTTAGGTTGTACGCATAGTCTTTATATTATTGTGAAGTTGCTTATGCAATTTTATGAGGTTAGGCTAAACGTTGGTATAGCCGATAAACTTCTTGTTTGTTTCATGTTCTATTGTTTGTGGGTATTTTTATCTTTTAAACTATATTTAACTTGTTACGACTAATGAAAAACCCTATTAGGTTATAATCTTCTCTTTTTTTTGCTGATCGTGGCTTTGCAAAGTCAGAAAACAACTGCATCTCTTCCACTTCTCTTCTCTTCATCTTTTCTTCTCAGTTCTGATCAGGTTTGTCTCTCTATGTATAATCTCTTTTCTCTTCTTCTTTTATGTATCTTCTCTTCTTCTCTGCATTTTTGTTGTGAGACAGTGAGTAACTCAATAGCTGCAAAATGATCACGGTTCTAGTTCTTAGAGAACACGGCTATGTTTATGTTTGTTGCTAATTCTAACTCTATTGTTTTCTTCTCTTGTTTTTGTAGATCGTGGTATTTGCAACGTCAGAAAACAGCTCTCTGCTTTCTGCGACTTCTATTCACTGCATCTCTTCCACTTCTCTTCTCTGCATCTCTTCTTCTCAGTTCTGATCAGGTTTGTCGCTCTATGTATAATCTCTTTTTTTCTTCTTCTCTGCATTTTTGCTGTGAGACAGTGAGTAACTCAATAGCTGCAAAATGATTACGGCTCTGTTTGTGTTTGTTGCTAATTCTAACTCTATTGTTTTCTTCTCTTGTCTTTGCAGTTTGATCATACTCTCATCTCATAATGGCTGATGGTGAAGATAATGCAAACAATGGTGGTGGCAGAGAAGTGGCTATGGGAAGGAGGTTTGGAATTTGTGTTGGAAACAACAACAACACGTGGATGTGTACTTTCTGCTACAATGTTTGTAATGGAGGAATAACTCGGCTTAAACAGCATTTGGTTGGTGGTTTTAGGAATGCTACAAAATGTAAGCATGTTCAAGATTGGGTTGAGAAGCTACTTAGAGACTACAAGATGAAAAAGGAGGCTCAGAAACAAGCTCGTAATATGGATCATCAACCTGAAGTTGGTGCTGATGACGAGTATGATGAAGGAGAACCATCAGCTAGTGCACTATTATCGAAGAAAAGGAAAATCAAAGGACCTTTGGATAAATACGTCACTATTCCTCCAAGAGATGTTCTACAGGGAAGAAAAGAGAGAAAATGTATCTTTGGTGCTTGTGATAAAGAACAAAGGAATATAGTTTGCCTTGGTATAGCTAGGTGGTTCTACGATGCAGGTCTTTCTTTCAATGCCGTCACTTATCCTTCTTGGAATGAAATGTGTGAATTGATTGGCCTTTATGGACCTGGTTTGAAAACTCCAAGCATGTGGGAGGTTAGAGAACCTCTTTTGAAGAGAGAGAAGGCAAATGTGGGAGCTAAGCTTTTGAAGAACAAGAAAGAGTGGTCAAACAAAGGTTGCTCATTGATGTCAAATGGATGGCGTGATCCTGTGTCCAAGAAAGACATTGTAAAGTTCTTGGTTAACTCGACAAAAGGTTCTGTTTTTCTCAAGTCTATGGATGTTTCTGAGGTTGTGAAAGATGCTAGATTGCTGTTTGAGTTGCTGTATAAGATGGTAAAGGAAGTAAGGGAACATAATGTCGTGCAAGTTGTAACAGACAATGCGTCTAACTACATTAAGGCTGGAAAGTATCTTATGGATGAGAGAAGACATCTATATTGGACTCCATGTGCAGCTCACTGCATTGATCTTATGCTGGAAGACATTGCATCACTCCTAGCAGTGAAGAATGCAATGAAGAAGTGTATGTTCATGAACAACTTCATATATGGCCGTGTCCCTATTGTAAACATGATGAGGAGGTTCACGAGTAACCGAAATCTGCATAGGCCTGTCATTACGAGATTTGCTACTTCTTTCATCACAATGTCTCAGTTTCATAAGTAGAAAAAAAACTTGAGGAAGTTGATTACCTCAACTGAATGGGATGAGTCTAAGTGGCCTAAGGATTATGGAGGAAAGAAGGTGAAGCAGTACCTACTACATGAAAGCTTTTGGTCAAGCGTTTTACTTGCTATGTAGTTGGCGACTCCTCTGGTTAAAGTGCTCAGGATGGTAGACGCAGAAAAAAAGCCAGCCATGGGTTATATTTATGCAGCGATGGATCGAGCTAAGGAGGCTATCTCGCTGAGTTGTAACAACAGAGAAGAGAAATACAAGGAAGCTTTTGGTATCATTGATAAAAGATGGGAATGTCAGCTTCACCATTCTTTACACGCAGCTGGTTATTTCCTTAACCCGGCCATGCAATACAAGTACCAAGCTGATGTGAACACCGAAGAAGTAATGAATGGTTTATTAAACTGCATTGATAGGTTAGTTCCTGATACAAAAGTGCAATCAGCTATATTAAATGAGCTATATCTGTTCAAGAATGCAGTTGGTGTATTTGGCCATAAGTTTTTTCTGCTCCGCATCTCAAAGAGTTTGCAATTAAGGTTTTGAGCTTGACATGTAGTGCAACAGGGTGTGAGAGAAACTGGAGTGGTTTCCAACAACTTCATACGAAGAAAAGAAATCGCCTAACTCAAAAACGGTTGAATGATATCATGTACGTGAAGTACAACCGTGCATTACAACGTAGCGCTGAGACTCAAAGACATGCTGCCTTTAATCCTATACGACTTAAAGATATAGATGAGAGCAACGATCGGTTGACTGGAGTAATGGATGGGGAATCATCATCATGAGTTGATAATGATAATGTGTTCTCTTCTGGTGATGAGTTGCAATGGAAGCCAGTAAGCCACGCCTCGGGTGCTAAAGATCCAAGCTACTCAACAAGGAAAGCAACAGGTTCAAGTTTTTAATAATTCCTTTCAATTCTTTCATTTCAATTTTCTGCTTTGTGTATGTTTTCTGATTCTAAATACTTGTTTTTCTTTTAACATTTTAAGGAAAAAGAGACAGAAGAAAGGGAGTTGCTAGTAGCTCAGCTCGTGGTGGCAAGAGAACTGTTAGAGTTACACCGAGGAGAAGAGACTTGCAACTGGTTGATGAAGAGGATTCAAAAGATGAAGAGAACGATGTTGACTTGGAAGATGAAGGAAAAGAAGAAGATGATGATCTTGGTTATGATTCGAATGAGGAGTATCTGGGAAATGAAGAGGATCATTCTAATGAAGACTTGCTTTAGGTTCTTTGGGTTTCAGTTTCAGTTATTGCTTTAGTTGCTTTTGTTTTCTGTTTCAGCACAAGACTTACTTAGTTGCTTTGGTTATCAATTTCAGTTCATGACTTTGGTTGCTTTGTTTTTAGGATTCTGGTTTACTATTTCTATTTCAAGACTTATGTTTGTTTTGAATTTAACATGATGCTTTCATTTCAAAACTTGTATTTGTTTTCAGTATTGACTTACAGGAAACATGGAAGTGTTTAAAATTGAAACAGATAAAAGAATGAAAAGGCGTGCACCATCTTGTGCCATGGCTCATGGCACAAAGCACAAGCTTCGTCGCCGTGATGCGCCATGAGCCATTTCAAGCTTAGATTCCCTTGCCCCCATAGTTTAGATTCTTGACTGGATTGCTTTTGTGGATGAGCTTTTTTCATCTAATCTGCCCAACATTAAACATTGATGCACGGATTGAGGTTGGAACATCTTGACATGCATCTGTGTGTCTAGACGCAAACCCGCCAAATAGAAACTCACCAAATACGCCTCTAACATCTTCACCCAAGTTCTAATATGTTCAAATTTCTCGTGATATCAAAAATCCCATATGTTTCATGTAGTTGTTTTAACTCCGCAATCGGAACATCCAACACATCCTCAAGGCGTTCTTTCAACTTCTGCTTATAAGAAGCACCCCAATCATTCAAAACATGATGATAAACTTCTGATTTAACCAACGCATGATGCCATGTTGAGGCGTGGCTATCAAAATGCATGGCTGCCATTTTAACTTTTCGTCCCTGAGGTGTCAAATCCATTTCAAAAAACTCTTCGACTTTGAATAACCACTCCTTATTACCAGTACCATCAAAGCGTGGAAAATCAATACGACCGATTCGGGTAATACCTCCCCCATATGCTTGAGCAGCTTGACGCTCATCCGTATACATATCTTGTGGCAGAGCCATTTTCGGTGGGCTCCAATCCCATGGTGGGCTACTACTCTCCGGTAAAGGACTCGCCGGGTTGGTCTGCTGAGTCAACAGCTTGATCGCAGCAAATATTTCACCAATACTTCGATCAATTTTGTCACTCTGGTCAACGAGCTTTGCTTCCAACGCATCAGTTCGTGAAACTATTTTTGGATTTGGGTTCCGATTGCTTCTTCAGCTTCCTGAACCACCACACCAGCCTCACGAGCGAGAGTCTCCTTCAACATCGCCTGAGATCGAGTTTCTACCATGAAATATGAGAATCGAATGGCTCTAATACGTGTGTTATAGATAAACAACACCTCAATTAGAAAGAGCAATAGATAACCTTGAACCAATGTTTGCTAGAAACAAAGACTCAGTTCCCACCTTACAAGAGTATAGATTGAGAAACAACTCTAATTAGATATGAGCAACGAACCCAAAAAACCTAGATTACATAGAGAAGAGATAAAGTTTCAGATATAAGGAAATCACATAATGAATACGATCCAACTTTGCTACTTCTTTTGTTTATTCTTCTGAGTCTGCTCTTTTGCAACGTTATTTATTTCAGTCCACAAAACTCACCACCAGTAAAATACTGCCACCTCAACTCATACTCTCATTATGAAGTTCCTGTAACACAAAACAGAACGATTAGGGTTTATCAATCTCTTAACTTAATATCTCCTAAGAAGATCTGGATTGAGACCCAAGAAAGAATTAGAGAAAGAAGAACACTTACGATTGGAATCGAGACTAGAAGATTTGCATTAGAGGGAAATCGAAGAAGCTTGCTTGAGACGATTTAGAGAGAGAGAGAGAGAGAGAGAGAGAGAGAGAGAGAGAGAGAGAGAGAGAGAGAGAGAGAG